ACGTGCAGCCTGCTCAAGTGTAGCAACTGAAATTGCCGCCACACCCGAGAAATAGATCGGTGTACAAACCAATAATAAGTAGAGTATGTATGAGATGCTACATACGACCTATACTATAAGAGTTCACCCAAATCAATGGCGAATCGGTCTAATACACGTCCACAGTGTATGCTGTATACGATCAAGCCTTATGATAAAATATGTCAATGATTTTAAACATATTCAATTGCTTTAGGAGCACCGCAAGCTGGCTAGATGAGGAAAAAGTGCAGGAAGAACCTTTATATCAAATACTCCTAAAAATGCCAAAAAAAACCCAAAAAATACGGGCCAGGTCACAGCCAGTGAACTGCAATAAACATTTCTGACTCCAGAACCTTCGCGTATTAAATTGAAGTAGGGGTTGATGCTAATTCAACGAAAACTGACAGAGTTTACGCAACATGCACAAACATCAAGGAAATAAAGTAAAATACTCAAGCGGCGGCGGATGCAGAATCGCAGTATCAGTAAAGCAATCTCTCCTAGTTTCGAATGCATCGCATGCAGGCGTGAATACTTTATAACGTAGACAGTGCGTGTAAACATACCAATGTCTGAGTACATCTTGCGGAGATCGTGCATGACACAGTCGAGGTAGAGCTCGCCCGTGGCCCTAATTATACGTTCGCCGGACTCCTCTACCTTTGTAGTAAGTAGTGGGTAGCTCTTGTTGACCTGAAAAGGAAAAGAAATAAATGAGATCACGCAAAAAAACCACATGCGACTAAGCCTCTTAGTGGGTGAATGGTAGGCTGAAGGCCCGGAAATTGAAAAACCTCCAAATGCTCACCTTCCTCAGGCCATCCAGCATCTTGGGAAGTTCTGAGGGATTGGCCGGCTCTACAGAGATTTTTACAACGGAGATGGTGTTGAAGGAGAGCGGTCGGAAAATGAAGACGCCCTCTGCGTGAGGAGAGACAATCGTCGATGTCTTTACGATTGCCTGATCCACACCTTCAATGAGAACCCAGTTGCCTGCAGGCACACGATTAACTTCGAGACGATATCTGTGAGGAACCGTCAATGTAGAAATAAAGTATTGCGTCAATTAAGAGGAAAAATAGGCCGAAATAAGTAAAGAAAAGGACAAAGGGTGTGACTTTTTAACCAGATGACGATAGGCGGACAACGAACAAATTATTCACATGACGTGACGAGAGAGATAGGTGAGATTCACGGGAGGTATAATATTGTTATGGACTTAGGAGCTGACGGTTCCACGTGTGTAACTGGCTACAAACTATCCTCAAGTTCTCTGCACTGGTTAACAAGGACGAGGGCGCCCAGAAAGCTTTAGCCGATGGCTGTTATGTAAGGACACCTTCGGCTTACAAAATACTGGCACGACTGATTCTTGCTAACAGAAACGAACAGGCGAGTTCCGGCAAGCAGTTCAGAAGAAAAAAAGGTGTGTTAGCCGGAAGGTTGCATTAATGGACCTGAATTTTCAGACTCTCGCTCGAACCCATCACCAGATACATTCACAAAGAAGAGTGACGAGGAAGCCAGGGGTGCGGCATCTCTAGGATGCAGTGGCCGCACAGCCACATGCCTAATCCAGTTATCAGATCCTGCATTCATCGGTGATGATCGTAAATGACGAGATATTTGCTCGTTAGTCCGTGTCCGGGTCGTTAATTGTCTAAATTTAATCACCTTTCTCGATTATTGGCGTGAAGAGGCCAACTGGAGAAAGTGTGTGCCGGCTACATATTTTTTCTGGAACAGCTGTCCAAAGACAGAGGCGACAAAACACAAGCGTCGCTCCGCCGTTGTTATTCGGAACGACATAGTAGGACAACTGGCCCCTTCGTCGCAGGGCAGCAACGGCAGTCTTATGAGCCTGCATTTGTCTCACGAGAAGCCAATTTTGTCCACATCGTCAGCATCTACGCTCCTCCAATGATCAGTACTGCGTACTCGCTTTTACCCTCTTCAACCTCATACGTCTTACCATGCTGATGGATACCTAAGGTGATGGGCGCCCAAGGAGCGACAGAGCCTACAGGAACAACGACCGGCTTCTCAATACCCAATTCATGCAGGCCACAAAGAGATTCCTCATGAATACTGTCAACGAACAATTTTATGCGGACGACTGCCCGTTCGACACGGCGACAGAACTGGATACGCACCAAAGACCAACTGTCTGCGCAAACTTCGAGCTAACCGCAAAATGGATAAAACCGTGGTCATGCATCAGCCGTCGACAGATACTGCATAAAATAGCCTTCATATCACTGTTAAAGGCAGCTAACTTCAAACCGTAGACAAATTAGCCTACTTAGGCAACACTTAAATAGACGATTGAGATGCGCACCGGATATCCGAGACCAACAAGACGTTTGGTCGACTACAGGCCTCAGTATGAAATCGTCATACGCTACATGTACAAAGCTGTCATCCTGAAGACACTGCTGTAAGGAAGGAAACCTGGACCATCTAGGTTAATCAAGCCCGGAATCTCGATTAATTCTACCTCAACTATCTTCGGGGAGTACTGAGGTTGAGATGGCAGGACAGGAGGGAGCGAAGTCCTCAGCATC